ACCCCGATACCCAGCCGAGCCGCTGACCATTACCACGACCAAGTTGTGAATATGCGCGGTTCGTACGCTTCTAGGTTGCTTTTAAATTAGGGTTTTTAGCCAACTCCCCTGGGTGAACTGCCATTGGTTCACTGACCTGATGATACCCCGGATATATGCTTTTCTTCTCCTCACTTATCCTACACGATTATTTCAATCACATGGAGTATGTCGCTCGTTTGCTCCGCAGTGGGTTTGTGTTGTATACGGGATGAATGCTAGACTTCGTGGTTTTGTACACCAGTGCAGCTGCAACGATTAACCCGTTTGATGTTTTCGTTATTGATAGATAAGTTAGATTAGATTTAGTTATCTAACCCCCGATGACTTTTTAAATTAAGGTCAACTAAAACATCATTAGATACTTTTTGGGATGTTTGGATTAGCCACTACGAGACAAAAACCAACTACAATTCTTCTTCGATTGACGACGTTCCAATTTTGGTTTTGATGCCGTGAAAAATATCAGCAAATCAACCAAAAAAGGTTCATTCATCTCGTGAAGATACAACACCACTGTTGGGCCGGTTTTCGGGAGCGATAAGGAATTGGATGCCTGCGTTCAACCAAACTGTACCTTGCACCGTTAAGTGCCAGTACTCATTGAATATTGTGAGCACCAGTCAATTGAGAATGGAATATCATGAAGATTAAAAAGTGATCTATTGTACTTGAATAAAAACATCTGAACTGATTTCAGGAAGGTTCTTAATCTCATATCTGTGCTTCACGTTGCGAGAATGACTAACAGCCTGTAATCAGTTGCTGGATTGTGTTATCCCCGTCCTATATTCAGCACGGTGCGACTTGGTGTGAGCAATATACCAGCATACTTCGAGAAGAGCCGAACTGATGATTTTCTACTACTACAGATGTGGTTTAAAGCAATAGCAGAGTGTTGATCGTTTGCGAGCTGCCTTTGGTGATGAAGCACCTTCAAGAAACATTGTGAGTGGTTTGCGGCATCCTAACAAGGCCGACCGTCCCTGGATGATGAGACACGGTGTGGTGGACCCGTGGAGGTCACCACAGCGGCGATGGTAGAGGATGCGCGGGTGACAGTAGCACGGCTGGCGAAAGGCATCGGGTTCAATCCGCATCATCCTGCATGTGAAACTCGGCTTCAGAAAGGTTCGTGCACACAGTGCCCCATCAGCTCAGTGAGAAACAGAAAGCATTTGGGGTAAATTGGTACCACGCCAGGTCTAAGGTTGGACGTACGAATACAGTTTGGTAGATCATCAATGGCGATGAGACGCCAGTTGATAGGGCGCCACCGCAGAAATTCCGACGTGAGCGCAAGTGGCAAGTCGGATGGTAGCTATGTTCATGGCCAAAATCGGATATGTGTCTACTGTGCCGCTCGTACGGCAAAGCACAATCACCGGAGACTGGTTCGGCACCCGCTGTGTGCCGAAAATGCTAAAAGCTGTTGCCAAGCTCGTCCAGGATTCGTGCACGAGGGACCTTGCTGCACACTAGTTCCATGTCGTCGTCCATTTTCTGGCTAAAGAACAACCAGGAGGTTGGTCACCCACTCTACCGTACAGAACTGGCTCCGTGCGACTATTTTTTGTTCGCAAGTGTCAGCAAGTGTACGAGCCATCAACAGCTTCAGTAAAAGCCTCCATTGAACTAGTCGAAGTTTTACCCGCTTAGGCATGGTCGCGCTGTTTCATCAAATGGTTTGAGCGCATGGAACTATGCATGAACGCTGTTGGGGAGTACTTCGAGAAAATGTAATACTTATGTGTAACAAATAGAATTTTTTTCATCGGGAAGCTTTTTGCTCAGCCCTCATAGATTATCCACACCGAACGAATGCTAGAGTGCTAAAATAAGTAGATAGTGTTTATTTGTCATTGGTACCTATTTACCATAACAGTTGGAGTCATCCGTTGCCTATTTACACCTACAAACGAAAAGCTTACTTGCCCAAATACCTCCGTTCTATGAATTATAGCTTTAAAGGAATCAGCCGTATCCTCGGAGGTTATTTAGTCTGGTCCTCGAGGTACATCAGCCACAAATAATGTGGATCTTGGACAATAAAAGTAGATTTGTTCTTGATACACGAAGCATCTGTACTTTAATTCGTAAAATTTTTCCCCTTTATTTATTACCTTATTCAAGGAGATGAATGTCCTGTACAGTTTCTGGTCATTCTTTCTACGGGAACACTTCAATCGGACAATGTACAAAGATTTTCGCAAACATGCGATCGAAGATTCAAAACATGGGGCGCGCTATGGAATGGAGTGCCTCTTTAGATTTTACAGTTACGGATTGGAGAAGCGATTTCGTAAAGCCATTTTCAAGGATTTCCAGGTACGCTTACAGTTGGATTATTTTTCTTCTCTGGGATAACTTGGATTTACAATTTATTCATACGGTTCAGCCGCGGTCTGCTAGTCTAATGTTCTGAGGTTACTGAAAACCGATGAACAAATTCATTTAAGAATATGGGTTAATGATTTTTATGTAATGATACTAGACTTGAGTTTACTAAAGGTTTTTGAACTGCTTATTGATAAAATAACTCACTTTCACTTGTCACTAAACATTTATGTTTTACTTAATCATTGTTTTATTGTTTCCGCAAACGACATAAATGGGGGAAGAATGGATTTCTTGTGTTTGGTGACCATTTTGTTTCTTCGTGTAGCTTTTAAAATCCCGACTGCACCCAACTGTGCTCTCATTTTGTGTTTCAGGAGGAGACATTGCGAGATTACGATGACGGTCACCTTTACGGTTTGGAGAAATTTTGGGCTTTGTTGCACTACAGTCATCGAAAAGTAAAAGTCGACGATCGTCTGCAAGAATTGTTGGATACCAAATATCGCACAATTCAAGATTTTCGAATTAACGTGAGTGCTCTCGATGTCTAATTGCATCCTTTTTATTCAGTCTGGTAAATATGAACTAAATCAAACAAACGGTCGCTCGTACCCAATACTACTTTTTGTGGTAAATCGCAGCATGGAGGAGTCATGATGATTCCACCGACCCTCTCAGCAAACTTGCCTTGCTCATTTAAAGGGTTCTATATCTGCACGCATTTCAAGTTCCCTGTTACGCGTTTTGCAGTATTTTGCTCGGTAACGAAATCGTTCGAGGTAGCGTCTTCAAACTTTGCAGTCGTAAATTCAATGAAACATATTGTCATGGTGTGTTGTGTTTGGTTCGCCACAATAGATCTCAGACACTCGTTGGTGTGTTTAGTCAGCTTGTTTTGGTTGTGGATTTCACTAATTGAAAACCTACATACATAGCACGCATTGTGTGTAATCCGTTCGTTTGTCAGGCCCCGGGTTTAGTCTTTAGGTTTTGGCATTGTTTTTTTGAAGCCACTACGACTCTACGAGTTCTCACTGTTAATACTAAATTGTTACCTTTACTTGAAAACAAGCGTCGGTTTGTTTCATTCACAATTTTCGTTTGTTGTTTTCTGAGGTTAGTCACCCGATTTTCTGTTTCACTGAAACATCGTTTATCGCAGAGCAACGGTGTGTTCTTGTTCTCTTCAGCTTCTCCATAACGCACAGCCCCATTTTATGAATTACATCAGAGGTAAAATCATACTTTAAGCTGGTCTACGCTCATGGAATAGGAAAAGTTAAACAAATTTCCCAGCACTTTTTGTCATCCTCACCATCGTCATACAGCGAATTACAGTGAAGCGAATTTCGCTGATCGCTGCCAAACTCGCAATGCATACAAGGTTAGTGGTCAAATTTAAGGTGGACAGGGATTGGATCCATCTTGAGGGTAGGAGAAGATGAGCCACTATGGTCAACACACAGAGTACGCAATCGAACTCTGCATACATACCGTTTAAAGCATTCTGACCTGATAAGGAACGACAACAAGAACGCCAGGTCTGTCGGTTCGCTGCCATATCCTTCAATGTCTCCAACCAACCGGTTTTGGAGTCTTTCGAACCCCAACCTCGAAGGCGAGATTCACCTACTTTACCTAATCGCTCTGTGCATTTCTTCATGCCTCGTCTCCACACTGATTGTACCAGTTAGATGTAAAAACCACGGATTGTTCTTGCAGTAATTTTGCTCATTAGTGGCATTACATAACCCCTATTTTACTTGGTTCGATTGAATACATCAGCCAGATAAAATCTAGATAATCCTCCTTATCTGAGAATGCCAATGAATAGACTTCCCTTTGGATAATTTATCTGTATAGTGAACATAATCGTGCATTTCCCAGATGGGTGAAAGTCGAACTTGGCTCTTGACTCTGTTTGATTGTAAGCAGTCATTGTTCATACACCGAGCTTTAATCCTAAGGCTGTTACTCCGGTTCCTTTTTTACATTTCAGTTCCAACCTCCTGCTGGGTTCTTCATCGATAAATCGCGTCGTCGAACAAAATCCGAATCAATCGGGCTTTCCCGAACTCCTGAAACCTCATTACCCCAACCGGTGAAGAAAGATCGCGTAAACACATGACAATGATTTCCATCGCCACCATGTTTTGTATACTCACCAACCGATCGGTCGCTGCAGCGGAAATCCCAAAGCTTCATGCAGTTATACATACCCAACTGCATATTCAAGCATTCAATATTGTGACTTCACTAGAGTCTGGTCGCCCTTATTTCTAGTCCCGCATTTCATGAAGCAAATGCGATGTGATCGATCTTATGCCGGTCGACTGGACGGTATTTTGTTACTAGACGACCTGCACAGTTTATTGCACTCAGTTCATGACACTTGCCCGTCATCATCACTTCTTGCACCTGATTGCATGAGTGGCACGCGTTTCGGAACAACTGATACGACCTCATACATGACAAAATGAAGGTCGTTGATTTATTTCGTCTTCAGTGGTAACCAGACCCATTTACTGTGTTCGTGAAACCGGTTTTGGTTCTCACCTGACGCAGTGCCGTCTCCTTCCATCATTTGAAAAATCAAATCAAACATAATTTATTGTTTCCTGGTTTAAATTACCCGTTGAATCATCCCTTCCGCTCACGAGGCCACTGTGCCTAAACTTGTTTGTGTATATATTTCATACTTCCAAACGGTACCTCGGATCATTCTCGGTATTTTGGCGGTCGCGTTTTTTTTCGGTCTCTAGAATGAGACAGTTGTTCTGGTCTCAACCAACCATTCAGTCATCTAACATAATCCCGGTCCATCCGTCCCTTCTGATCCTTTCGTCTTGTCGGTCGTGCCGACCATCTGAACTAAGTATGACGATCTGTATGCGCGTAGCTCTGTTGGTCCATGTTCGCGACTCAAATTCCATCCAGTTCTTCCGCTAACCTCTGGTCACAAATACGATCGTTGTCTCATCAGATCCTTTTGTGCGGCTCCTTTCAGTCTGGATAAAATGAACAAATCGGAAGAACAAACCGTAGCTGTCGCCGTCGATGCTGTGTATCATTTGTGATTCGATTCTTTCCTGTTTTTAACATTTCGGCATCTTTAACTCAATTTGGCCTTCGCTCTGCTCTTCATGATATTTCGGTTCCAGTTGGCTGTTGGAATCTCCTTTAAAATTCCAATCACTTCAGCCGGATTTTCTTCATAAGTCGAAACGCTCCGTATCTGTTTTTCCTGTCTTGCATGTGCCCCATCCTTTTCCTGTCCATCTTGTTGCTTGGCTATACTTCATAGGTTTCCTGCCCCTACGTAACTGTTTTGGTTACTTTCGGTTACGTACCTCCCGATCACATTGCCCTATCATTGTTCCGCTCTTCGTTTCATGTATTCTTATAAAATATCTGCTTGTTCGTGTCTTCTCTTTGCCCATTTAACCTACGTTGAGTAAGACTTATGCCTGCTAGTTCATACTCTAGAATTGTTCGTCCTTTACTCATCAAAAACATGGTTGCTGCCTTTATCAATGTCGTCTGCTCACATCCTTTCGTCTCGATATGGGATGTACTTGCTACTTTGAATTATTCCACCGTGGAATTTCTTCATCCATGAAAACCCCGATGTGCAGTTAAATCTCAGCTGCAACTTTCCCCCCAGTCTCGTTTTCGGTGTGTTCTGTTCACTGCGCGAGTCTCGCTGGCTTCATATTACCCACTGAATACCCTGGTCACATTTTCATGCACTGTATGACTCAACGACTCGATAACCCGGTCTTAGCCATTCCGATTATCCATCATCCACCTACAAATGATTTATGCGCAAGCGTTCGTGCGTGTGAATTTCGGAATATATATTTGGTTGATGTTGCTGTGTTTGCCTTGATCTGTTTTTTGCGTCCGTCTGCTTATTGGTGGGTATCAGCAAGAAAACCTATTATTGTTAGCCGGCTACCTTTTCCCTGTCATGATCATTTGTGACCGACCAGGTTGGCCTATTCTATCATGCTCGTCGAACGGTTAGAGCGTTTTGGGCTCACTGATAAATGATGATTGCCGCCGATTTCCTCGACAGTATCTATTTATCCACCAGCCTTGAATGCCCACTGCTCAAAAAGAATGTGAACGTTACAGACGCGGTAGGATGGGTGTATGTCTCCATCCCAGCAGTGTTGCAGGTTGTTTTTTACTTAGTCGCTGTGGCTGAAATACCGGTTGGATTTGAAGGACCCCTCGAGTCCGCAACAGAATCTTACTCATAAGGTAGATCGGCCGTACTTCTAAGCTGCGTTTCACTTAAGGTCGTAGTCTCGTCATTCGGAACATGAGCGACTTTTCACTGGCCCTAAAGGTTCGATAATTTTCAACACATTCAAGTAACTGATCTGAATTTTTTGCTATTAGATTGGTAACGTTTGTTCGGTAGTGATGGTGGTGATGTTATCAAGTACTGCGGGTGTCTTGTTGGTTTTTCGTTCCAGTTTATTCTTATTATCTGTGATAATTCGGCTGTTTTCATGCGTCGATCTATTTCGGGGTCAGGTTAGGTCATTATCTCGTTATACATCACTGTCTACGTCGCATTGCACGAGTCTGATGGAGTTACCGGTCGAGGAATGCTGAGGTTAGGCGTAGAGTTTTAGGCAGTCGCGGTCGCCCACTAGAGCAAGCGATCGACGTCCATAGATTACGCTGTTTGGGGCATGTGTTACGCATGTCACCGAATAGGCTGCCACGGCGAGCGATGTTTGCCGAGGCGGACACCGGTTGGCAAAAGGCCACGGGTGGTCAAACAAAAGCTTGGCATGAGGGTATGCAAACCCTAACCAGGAGACTAGGTCACATAGACCCCGTTAAACGCCCTTTCTGAGGACCTCGAGATGATGTTCACCGATGGTTAGAAGCGCTGAGTAATATGGCTGGATGTCGCGAACAATGGCGCCCGTGCATCTCTAATTATTCCCCTAACTCCACTGTGTATGAATTCTCCATCTTCCGGTTGAATTTGCTTTCAACATTCGAATCTTCTTTCTGCTTTTTTATCCAAATGAGGCACCAGAAGACAGGAACCAAAACCGGTGCACGAAAGTGCATGGTTATTAGTTGTAAAAACTGAACTGAACTGAATCTCGTTATACGCTTGTGCTGTTATGATCGGTACACCGGAAAGGGTAAAGTCGAACGTGTTTTATTATCTGGATGTTTGTTTTGATAATCTATATCGTACAGTACATTGGTTTGTTCCATGATGGATCACATTTTGGTGCATTGCTCCTCTACTTGAATGTTTGCAAAACTCAACATAGGTTACCTAGCTGTTCCGGCTACTATTCAATTTGTATTGATAATCTATGAACTGACCGACCGACCGTTGGTTGCTTTCTACATCATGTGTGATTTTGTACCGTTTTAGCCCATAGTCAATGGCGAACGTTTCGGCTTTTCGCGATTCTTCTTTATCTGAAAATACATGTATCATTAACCTCAATCAGTTGTCGTCCTTGATCCAACAGTGGACCGAATCAGTGAACGATCTGGTCCTGGCATGCAAGCAGGTGTCAGATGCGCATCGTGATCTGAGCTGTTTATCTTCCATACAGCATCTTCCACCAGATTTGGACCGGGATTTATGGTTGAATTCCCTGAAATTGAAACTAGGATCCTCAGTGGAACGGTCGTTTGATCTAATGTCCCGTCTACGTTCCATCACATTGGATGTGTTCGAAGCCATTGAGGTATTGGAAAGAGAATTGTGTTCCATTGCAAGAACAAGGAAAGCGCAAAATAATTGGACCCAACTGTCGTGGTGTACCAGCCTAATTGGTCAGTTTCGGTCTGCTTTGGCGAACGAGTGTGATGCTATCGGATTGTATCATATGCGAACGGTGTTCGCCAATGACGAAGTTCACATTCCATCCACACCGCTGGTATTTGAACCTGATTTGCCAGTGATATCGAAATTGTGGTCGGAGTCATATTTACCGGCCTTTCGGATTTTGGTCCCTTAGCGGACGAAAAACCCTTATTTCATACTGTAATTATCCTTAACGCCACATTTCGTTAAAATGAGCTAATGTGAATATTTTTAAACATTCGCATCATCAACATTTAATCTCATGCTTCGTTAAACTAACTTATCGAGGCAGTGATCTTTTAGGGTTTTGTTACTCAAAGCAATTAAACGTGTTCAGTTTAGCTATAGTTGTATAAACCATTAACACGGCACATTCGTATCGCGGTTTTGGGTGCTGTCTGCCCATTCCAATGAAGGGAAGGAGAAAAATCAGGCTTCTGACAGCAGTATCAAAAGGGATGTAAGAAATTCAGCGACTTAAATTTGCTATGCATTTAAGTGGATGCACGAGCGTCAGTTCACGATAGCCAAGTAACTCTGTTTCTAACCGTCGGTGCTACTTATACCGAGTTCCCTGTCCGGGAAGCTTAGTGTGACCTGTCTAAACGAGTCCACCGATCAAAGCTTTCACCAACTTATGATCTATCTTACTCCTATCGCCCTTGGCTTTGTTACCGACTGTCATCCTCGATAAATATCGCACGTCGAGGTAGCCTATCGGGTGGCGCGTCAGGCTTGCCTCGACCCGCCTAGACTGCNGCAATTACCTACTACTATGGTTTCAGCGTGAATGTTGCTTACTTGATTGCTGTAATAAATTGGAGCAGTGTGGCGTATACAGTCGTGTTTGAATACCAATCGTTTATGATCATCCACTTCGCGTAACGGCCCGGTTTTTGCACCGAGAAGCAACAAAAGTCGAACTGCTACAGTGTGCTCTCGACTCTTCACAGAATAATGAAAAGTCGAGACCGGATCATAGGGGTTACCAGCCGGATGACAACACGTAATCCGTGCTTGGCGGGTGAGCAGGGGTGTACTCATTGTGTTTCGGTCGCAGTCGTGAATAAAATATTTAGTTGTTCTAAGTTAGTGAGCTGGCACGAACTTATAGGTTAGGCGGTAATGTTATCGCTGTTTCAAGCATGCTTTGGCCCCTGTAGTCTGAGGTTCGAGGCCCAGCACCGCTAGCGTACTTTCGTGGGGGTGAGGCAGTTCAACTGATATTCGGTTCAACGCCGCACTTGACCTGGCGGGATCTTGTTTTTCGCCGCTCCAAGCCCCGGGACTTAGCTTGCCGGTTTCAATTACATGAAAAGCATGTCTTCGCGACTAATGGGTTGATCCCGTGTGCTGCTCATTACACGTGTGTTAAGTAGATGAAGAGTTTAACGCACCACAGGTTGACCTTACCATACAGAGAGTATCTTGCAGAAACGAGTTCAGTGTTCTTTAGTCCCCCGATGGTGCCACGCACTTCGGGTAGTTTTTGTGTATTCCAATGCTAGCAGTCTATGACATCAGGAATAGCTAGGAGAAAGTATGAGTGAATTGATGCGTTACGCTTATTATTCACGGATTCCATTCATCGGAATGCAGCAGTTAATTTCAAGCGTGCGAGTTTATGCCAATTTCGTCACTCGGTTCTGAGGGGCTGCTGTGCACACGGCGCAGACTTGTATCTATTTGATGAACCACGCCTTTGGCCATGCGAAATATTCGCACATAACCTGGAAAGAGTAGTCTGTTCCTTTAGAGAGCGAGGTTGAAGCATATTTGTCTTTCGAATTTTGCTCTTTTTGTATTTCGTACTGATTTGTGATAGACAGTAGGGGACTTAAGCCTCCTGGTCGAGAGTTACCACCTGATGTTCGATGAATATAACAGCAGTAGTATAGTGTACGACCTAACTTGACCATAAAAGTTTGTCCATCTTTCGCCAGTATCTTGAATTATAGGATTACTTGGCATGTCTTCCATGGGTTTCTCTGAACACGCTCCGGGTCGATTAAAACTGAGCAACCAGGTGTTTCTGTAATTTTCATCTTCCACACGGTGCCCATTCGGTGGAAAGCTTTGGGTACGCGATGTTGTCACCGCTTTCTTCCATAATACAGCCCTTTTTCACCCGTTGCAAAGCACATTGGAAACTGGTTCAATGAAAACAGCATACGAGACGTACCAAATGGTCCGAAGGTTCAGACCAATCATTTGAACACAAAAGCGTGCCGTTACGATGTTTAATATAGTTACGGTGCTCAGCTGCGCAGTATACGCCCCATTTGTGCATCAATATCTGCAATACATAAATTTGTACAAAACAAAATCTTCGGTAGCTTTTCATTCTGATTCGCTTGCAGCGGCATGACTAAGGTTTGTGCGCAATCACGACGAGACTGCATCTTGATGTCTTGTAATGGCTTGTGCATTTCTCTGACCCAATGAGCTACACAAGATGGCTTTTTCAAGCCAAGCGATCTTATCATACCTAGAATGTCAGAGGGTGGAGGTCAGACGATGTCAAGTCTCCTGCTCATCCAGGTGGCGGGTTCGACTGGAATTTCAGTTACAGTCGGTAAAAATAGCGGAGGAGTAATCGATCCAAGTAAATGGACCTCCACTTCGCTTCACCTGCTGCGTTGCGCTTAGGTTCTTGTCTTTGGGCGAGTATTCTAATCGTTCTGCTTAGTGGCTGGACACCCTGGCAGTACCCGTCCATCAAACTCAAATGCATACACACAAAAAATAATTCCATACTGTATCGGTCGTCGCGCAGGATAATCAAGACTGCGCTGCCCACTGCATCGAGCAGGGTGGGTAGTGATAAGTGGGCTACTGCTCAAATATCCCAGCCTTTGTTTAATTCTTTGTCTTCAGCACCCAGAACTCTATTTTTCCCTTCTTCTGACCTGTAATAGTCCCTAAAGCAACTTGGATGTGGTTGGACAGGGGTCGTTGCCAAATTACACTATAAGTAATGTACCACGAAGTGAATTGTGGATTCTAAAGCCTCATCAATCACTGAATTCGGGGGTCTTCAACGTGAGGACTCTGATGCAAATAGGTCAACAAGCTTGTCTGGCGCGTACAATGGAATCCTTAGGGATCGATATTTACTGCGTATCGGAGACTCGAATCCAGGATCCTTTTACCATAAGCCACTTGAGCGCGCTAGATTTGTCGTCGAGATACGTTTTTCACACTTCAGACGACGATGAAGCCCGTTCGGTAGGTCAGCGCACGGTAGGTATTGTACTCAGTAACGGCGGATTCCTATCTTACCAAATGGAAACCCGTCATCAGTTAGTATATGCAGTACGCCTCCAAGGTCCAACCAACATCCCGAAGGGAAGCAACACCAAAAGGTGTTTGTTCATCGTATCAGCATACGCACCAACTAATTTCGGTTCTGATACTCAAAAGGACGCTTTCTACAATGGTCTCATTGATCTCATGCGACTGAATCGCAGCCCCGACGTAGCTGTACTTACAGGTGACTTCAACGTGCAAGTTGGAAAACAGTGCATTAGAAGCTTGTCTAGGCGGAAGTTGTACTTTACCCTGCCAACGAACAGATAACGGCGATCGATTTCTTCCGTTCTGCGCAGACCATCATCTGTTCCTATCAAGCACGACCTTCCGATACAGCTCTCGACGGACGGTAACGTGGCGCTCCAGTTCAACTGGTACGATGACTCAAATCAACCAGTAAGCTACTGTTGGCGTGGCTCAATGCAAAATTGCAGGTCTTATTGGACCACCTGTGTTGCTTGTGACCACGCATTAGTTTTGATTCAGTTCACTCTGCGACTGACTGGCCGGTGACGAGTTCAGCAAACTCAGATGGCTCATCATCGACTGTCTGTTCCTACAGTTCGTGCACACTATGAATCAGAGCTAATGCGTGGGCTAAGCGCGCCCCAACCTGATAATGTAGATGAGCAGTGGGATCAGATTAGGTGAGCAATGCATTCTGCAGCGAATGTTACTTGTGTGTCTGTGCCTAAAGCCCATCGGAGGCATTGGATATCTCAGGATTCAGCAGTTTTGATGGAGAGAAACCGAAAAATCCCGACCTGCCAGGATAAAAGTAGATTTAGGTGACATCTACAAAGTTGGCTTACGAAGAGTCTCAAGAAGGACTGGGAGAACTGGTGGGCAACAATAGCTAATGAAATGGAAGTAGCAGCTGTATTAAGTAATAGTGAAAGACTATTATGTCTAGTACATAATACGGGACGTCGGCGAACTCCAGTTAGTAAAAGAGTCTGCGATAAGAGGGGACAATCTATTCACAATAGGGATCAATGACTTGATCGCTAGGGGCAATACTTCAGCGAACAGTTCAGCTGGCCTAGTGCTAACCAGGCTGCTTAATCTGCAACTGGAGCTCCGTGGGCAGTGTCGTTCGATCCTACTATCACCCCCTTCCCACACCTCGACTGGGTAAATACTGCCAGTTGATGTCAGTCCTCCATCTGAAATGGAGGTTTCGCGATAGGTAAGCTAGCCCAAAAGGCATAAGGCCTCCGGCTCGGATCGGCTGTCTCTATCGGTTTGTAAGGATGGAGGTTCAGCCTTAGTTTTGGAGTTAAAAAACTCCTTGGTTCAGGGTGGGAGAGGAAAGAGGTTCCAAGTGAATGGTATCGATCGGTCATCATACCGATTAACTGTACTACACTGAACGTTCGGAGGAACGTTTGCGTTTCAGCCGCGGACCAAGTATCACCGGAGACCAAAATGTAAAGTACAAGGTTCAATATCAAAACTAAAGTTTGAAACGTCAACGTTCGTTGAGAATTTGGCCTAAACAGGAATTTTTCATATAAAGCCTTTCGTAAAGTTGTGAGTCGATTAACCGGTCGAAAAGATGTGAGGGGGAAATTACGAAAACTGAAGAGGATTCGTTGGATTATATATATATATATTATAATCATGCAACTCGTTCCCTCCATGCGTGTACGAAGAAGTTTCATGAACACAGGATGTTATATAACAGTGATCGAGGATTCAATTCAGTTATAAAGCGAATTTCGTCGTGTAAAGAGCAGATGAAGGGTGAAACTAAAGTTCTGAAATCACTGAACATCTGTTTCGATCTGGTTTTGTCTCAGCAGCAGTATGAATCCATCGATCGAGCTTGGGATCAAACCC